GGTAAAAACAAATATGCAAAGTTACATTAAACTTAACAAACTGAATCCACTGTTATGGATTACAACAGACAAAACTCTTATAATAGAGAGCTTACAATAGAGAGAGAAAGGCATTCTAGGAAAAGTAGGAAATCACTAACTGAAGTGTTTCAAACAAGCAATTAGTAATGTGCTTTGAAAAATTTACTTGGATAACAGAGTTATATTAAACAATAACATATACGAACTCACATCAGTAAACGATAATATTGAAATACTGCCAAGCTCTTGTTCACGCAATACCCCTTTGCAGGCACAAGCCAACCATGTGAAGTAGTTTAACACAGGGTCGTGATCCCTCAATGGCAATTTTGTTAGTTTGAGGTGCCATTGCTGAGAAAATTAAACATTTTTCAATATATAAAAGCTCTAGTAAATCTTAAATCTCCCTTCCCTTTTTAGCAAATGGAATAGCTGTGCCATCAGTATTGTAAAACTGTGATTGTAGCTCTCCTTTACTTGTAAAACCCTTGACTTGCACTGTCGACAGTAGATTGAGTCATTCATAAAGAGACAACGTGTGGACATTGCTCCATAACCTGGCAGCCACCCACACCATTCGGTGACAGATGACAGCGTCTCTTGGTTGTGGTCAAGGTGCTCTGGCACACTAGAGCCGCCTCTTGCTGACTTGACTCCTGTTTCTCTAGTGAGCCTCTTTAGTGCCTGAGCTGTTAAGGTGAGCTTGGGACAAATTCCAGAGATTAAATTATGTGGAAAAGCAGATTAAATAGTTATTATCCCATCTGCAGTCAGACAAGTACACACACGAGCAGGCACGCCTACATGTTCGCAAACCATGTGCGCGCACACACACACACTTTTCATATGGGCCATTATCAACATGTGTTTTGTTGATAAGCATGTCTCAAACTTGACATCCTGATGTGCTAAAACATGACGCTGTTCTTCTCCCAAAACCCTGCTTTCTAGGACAACTCTTCACCTCTCCACCAGATCAACAAAATGCAAGCCACATGTAGGACCACCACTCTGCCAAAATAATAGCTTTCACCTATTCTGCAGGGAGTCACAGAATTAGTTCTACTTAACAGAGGGATTGAGAGAGCGATCTAAATGTGGTTGTTTTGGGAAGTCTGCCTGCCGTCGATTCATGTCTTTCTGATAGACATGTAAGTTTAGAGAGCCGCCCACACATCCCTGAGCCTCTCTCAGTTGTTACAACCGAGGGAGATAGAAAAAGAGCAAAAAATAAAATAGAAGAGAAAGAGAGACAGACAGAAAGAGAGAGGGAGAAAAGGGAAAAATGTGTGCTGTCTGTCGCAGAATGGAGCTTTCCTGCCCTGGCTCCTCATTGGAAGCTCGGTGCTGAGTGTGTGTCTCTTTGAGGAAGGGCTGGAGTTAACCCACACACTCTCAGCAGCCAGCATCAATGGCGCTTTCTATGGGCTGTGAATCAAGCAACACAAGAACATCCGTGGCCCATGCATGGAGAGATGCTGTATCCCACACATACACAGTGGCTTTATACAGATTAACAGCCTCTCTCTCTGTCTCTCTCTCTCATATCATGGGAGGTATGCATACTGTAGCTATATTTGGGGCTGGGGGGATTTGCTAAGCTGTGTTTTCCAGCCAGAGCTCAGTATTAGTGCACTATAAAACAAAGAGCAGAGCAGAGCAGAGTTGCATGCATATGCACATACTGCACATGCAAAGGACACACACACACACACACACACACACACACACACACACACACACACGTTCTTTCAAATACATAAAAGCTCAGCTGGTGTGTGTTCAATTTGTGGTGCAACCCAGCCTGGTTCTCATGTGGGTAAAAGGGTTTCCTAGAAAAAACTTGAAAAGTGTGAAATGTTCCTATATGAAACACACCTTTTAAATTCAGTACAGATGTTTATATTATATGTTCACATGTATTCACACATGAATATTTTGAAAACATACTTCATCTTTGTAGTGTTTGTATGGTCCTTTGCCTGTCAAAACTTCAGTTACCACTTGCATACACAAACACACATGCATCCAACAAAGGCATGGATATTTAGCTTCAGTGTGTGAGTGTGTAGCTGAGTGTCCAGACCCCAAGGCAGGCCCAGGGAGAGAGATCCAGGACAATTAAAACTCAACAGGAAGAAACACCGACAGCTCGAAACTGGGCACTGAGCACTCATGCATGTAAAAATACACAAACCCACACAAGCACGTACACACAGGTAGACAGAAAAAGACATGAAATAAACACACACATCACAATGGGCTGAGCACAGCGTGAGAAGCTTTCATCCACTCCTAACAAAGGTCACATTTTCAGTGGGACATCTTTGACAAGTGACAGCATGTTCACCCCAATTATCCTGTTTCAAGTTTCCTACCTGCCTCTCCTCACAAATAAACCCCACTGCTTATTCAAACATTACACAAAATACATATATTGTTACACACACATGCACACACACACACACACACACACACACACACACACACACACACACACACCTCAACCTCATCTCCTCTGCACTGTGTGTCCAGGGTCTAAACAGATATGTCCCCCAGGCTCTGTCACCTGTCTAGAGAGACGTGGGGCTAAGTGATGGAGGAGGGTGAGCCAAGGTCTCATCTCATCCCTGGTGACTGAATGCAGGAGTGGACTGCTGACCTTTGACCCTCGCAGGAAGGGAGATTGAGCACTGCTCCAGACCCTATTAGCATTCTGCTCACACATGTCCCCTTAACACAGCAGACTAACGGCATGAACACTGTGTATGTATAAGACTGAGGTGTTGCGACAAAGGTTGTGTGTTAAGAGAGATCCAGTCAACCTGAATATTTGGCAGCATCATGGTAACACAGCAGGGGAGTTTTTGCTGTCAAAATACATCATGTCAGCCACAAAAAAATATATATCACACAGTAGTCCTTGTAGCCATGAGTAATCCCACCACGATTAGATTCTTAAAAGGCTAAAGGTCAGGTAAAACATGGCAACTTAATGCCACTGTGCACCGTTTTCTCCCACGTTTTTACCCCTCAGTCCTCTGATGCTTTGTTTCCCTGACAGTGCAAGTCCTCCTACTCCATATAAACACACACAAATACATCAAAAAGACAAATAAGCCTGTCGGTTGTGTCTCTGCGCGTCTCAACATCGCCATATGTATGCGTGAACTGTCAACACTGCACAGCCAGATCAAACTGGCAATCTGTCAAAATGCTGGGGATACAGTTAGTGATTCAAGTGACTGATGACACATAGAGAAATTAACCCCCTCTGATGTGACGTGGGCATTGATGTAGTGTTTAAAAAAATTAGATGGGTATACTCTGACCTCCAGTTGGTTATCAACATAAGGCAAACAACTGCTTACATAAAAACCAATATGAAAGCCTTAAAACAGCAAAATCCTCATCTGTTTGTGACTATTTTTTTTCGCATCTATGCCAGTGTTCCTCATCACACAGTTATGTCATCCACAAACAAATGGTGACAGATGGAAAAAGTGACTTGAGATGGGGTTATCCTCCTCTACATCCCTGGGTGTATCTATCTGATGCAGTATTGCACTGATTTGTGAGTGACGCTGGATTTCAGCACCATGGACAGCGCTCTCTCTCTCTCTCTCTCTCTCTCTCTCTCTCCAGCGTGAGGAGAGGAAGAGGAGGAGGAGGAATGGAGAAGGAGACGACGGGTGGTTGTGGTGTTGTTGTTGGTGGTGGGGGTTTCCCTGGCAGATTTCAGGAGAGGGTCTAACACAGTCATTCCTCCATCGCTACACATCGCCTACCACCTCCTCCGTACTGGATTTCCATACGGAGTAATACGGTATGTGTGAGATCACTGCTTTCATGAAATACCTTATTGATCGACCGAGCCTCACACAGGATGGACAGAGAGAGGGGAGGGGAGGAGGGGGTAGGGTGGATATTCCTCTGGACAGCCTTTATCATACATCCACCCAACCACCACTCTCCCTCCCTCTCCAAAAAAAAAAAAAAAAAAAAAAAAAAAAATCGGTTTCATTTACTTTCCGATTATGACAACAACCACTGGATTCGCCTCGCGTGATGTTGGACGATCAAAAACATGACAAAGCAATAGGCTATACGCGCGCGCACACACACACACACACACACACACACGCACACGGATGAGAAAAAAATGAAGGCGACGGCCAGCTCAAACACCATCCGCCGCCTCATAGCCGCACATTGCATCCAAGCGCATAACGTTCTCAATATTGGTAAGTGAGAGACGCGCCGTCATCGCGTTGCGTTTAGAGGAATGTCAGGAGGGTTTACCCGTGTGTTCAGCCCCACCAAACTGAGCCAGAGCCGCGGTCGTGTGTCATGTAAACTCCTCGGCCGGCACTGTCATTCACAAAATAAGCCACATCTACCTATACATTTTCACAGCTCATCCGCTGCTCTTAATAGGCCAAGGATGCGCTCATCGTCACCGCCAACACCACCACATCCACCTTCAGCAACTGTCGTGAGCAACACTTCAAAAATCGCTGTGGTCAGCTGGGTGTCAATAAAGCAATCTATAGCCCGAGCATCTTTAGCAGCCACACAACACACGGTCAGCTGTAATTTTCAGCTCTGACAGGCAGATAGGGACATGAATTATTCAAGACACATAAACTGAGCTTCTTCTTCTTCAGCAGAGAAAACGGCTCGACAAGAACATGAGCGGACACAAACCAATGCAGAGCCCACATTTACCGCTTCCACCGCATAAGCACTGGATACAATCAAGCATGTACATTAACCCACCGGTAAAAGAAAGTGAAAAAAAGGGGACCGGGAAATCAGCGTCGCCTTCAAGAGGCTGCAAAAGCCAGCGAGAGACTGAGAGCCGCCGCCACGCAAAATCCAGCCGACATGTAAGAAGATCCGGGCAGGCGGCCGCTGGAAATGAATTCATGGAAATATGAGCAAAATGTTTAACAACCGATGGGCATTTCTGGCATTACCTGTCAAGACTCCGACCCGGATTTGGTGGTCGTGGTTTGTTAAAATCATCCCGTCTGACGCCATGTTCAGCAGCGCTGTCGCCCGCACCGAGAACTCACGGCAGGGCCCAGAGCCGATCGCATCGAACTTAGCGGGGAGGGGAGGAGGAGGAAGAGGAGGAAGAGATGGAGGAGGGTTGGGATGGAGCAAAAAAAAAAAAAAAAAACCCAGCCAGACAAGATGAGTGGAAAGCAGAGCGATCATCGGGACACCTACAGATAAGCGGGCAGGATGCGGGGGCCGTTTAAACCGCACACATCACTCAGCTGGCCGCCTGCCACTGTAGTAGTGTGGATCCCAGATTAAGTCTTATGGAGACCACTATTGATTTCCTGTGAAGGCTTTTAGGGGAGACTGACTAGCAGTACATCTGCAGGCGCCACTCACTTATCCCATGTCATGCAATTGATTCCATATTTGAAGCTGAAATTTTAGACCCCTGCTGCATACATGCCTCAAATTTGACCCCTACCTGATGAATTACAGCATCAGTTCTCCAATTCGAAAAGCTTCACCTTGGGGCTCCATAAAAGTCCCCATCACCCACCCACCAAATTTTGGCCCCATGAGATGCACCCCTGTTTTTAGATAGTATAAAAGGGGGCCCTCTAAGATGTGTCGGCTACATCTCAATGCAGAGGCTTAAGAGAAGAATAACACAGTCTGACCTGTAAAACTACAACTGCATCCCCAGGCATAAAAGCACAGCTTCTATTCATAGATTGGCTGCACACTTCCATGGTGTGTAATTTCCCTTGTTTATTCTCATGGAAAGAAAATGCCCATCCTCCAGCTTCTGTTGGGAATCTATCAATATACATAATTCATAGACACACATGAGCACAGTAACCGTGGCAAGAAATGGGGTATCTCTTCCAGCTTCACTGGCTCGCTTCAATAGACTTGCCATGTCTGTGTCCAATGACCTGACCAAAAGAACTGACACAATTTCCATACTTTATTTAGTAGCCAATTCCCTCTTCCATTGTGTTACAATTAGCAACAGGAGGTGTCTGTCAGCCAAGGACATGAAATAGACCTTCAAAGCTTATCTGATGTCTTAACCTGAGTTAGATTTTGACTCAGTGCATCTTATTTTCTGTGTTTAAGTTCCAGCACAATATATCTATGCCCTACTGTCATTCAACTTTTCGTAAATTTCTGGCTTGAAAACCTGAATGGATGCATCCTGTGCAACTGCAAAAACAGCAGAGTCACTACTTAACCCACCTGAGACTGTTTTTGTTCTAAATAAATGCTGTAGTCATTGGCTATAGGCTTTGTACTGGTTTACATTTTTTTCTGCACAAAAACATACACACATTCAAAGTAACTTCTTGCAAACACAATTTTAACTTTACATACACACGAGGAAGAAAATAAAACTTTCCCAATCATACAGATTATTCACGCTCACATTTTCCAACCATCTAAGAAACAGCTATCCGTATACACTACTGCATTATTGGCATTAAGACAAATATGCACTCATTAGCAATCACTTGCATGGACGTCAGTGGCTCTTACTGGCAGAACTGATTTTAAGAGTAACCTAAAGGAAATGTTTGACATTGTGGGGAATACGTGTGTATGCTTTCAGCTGAGCATTAGATCAGAAGATCGATATCACACTGTCTGTATGGTAAATATGAAGCTACAGTTAGGAGCCAGTTAACTCAGCTTAGAATGGAGACTGGTAGCAGGAGGAAACAGCTAGCCTGGCTCTGCCTAAAGGGCTAAAAATTCAAGTACCAGCACCTTGAAGCCCATAGCTTTTTTGTTTAGTCTGTACAAAAACATAAGTGAGAAAATAACAATTTATGGTTTTTATGGGAGGTTATGTGCTGGACTATTGCTTAGCTGTGCCCTGTAACTCTTGGCAATAAAACAAAATTTGGTGCCCCAAAACATCAAGTGCTTTCTTTAACACCAGGCTGAAAAGTAGTGTCAGTGTTCTCTTTGGCTGAAAGTTTCAAGTCTGTTGCAACTCTACTGCTGGGAGTGACTCGGTGTGGTCAGAAATGTAACCACATCTGGCAGTGATGTTCCGGTGTACTTACATACACTCTAGTATAGCCTACACTTCTACATCAATGCAGCAAGGTAAGAAGATAAACCATTGGGGGTCACCACAACACATTTTCAGCTGCTCTCTTTAGTTGATCGTTCAAAATCTTGCTTTAAAAAGTCAGTTAAACTACTGTTCTTGAAGTTGACTCAGGCTTACCATGTCTTTGGAAAGAAAGTAATTTACTTGTCTGGAAACTTGTGAGGAGATCTCGCCAACTGTAGCAAGGCATCATGACAGCATCCATATCTGTCAGCCTGTCAGTGATGGAGAGGGCCCAGTGCTAAACAGACCTTGTTAATGGTGACAACCAGTGTGCATGAGTTGCTGTATAATGCATGTGAGTATGTGCAAATGCATACACAGACACACACATGTTCATACAATGCAAACAGATGCTCACACACCCAACACACTCCATGGTTCAGAGCTGGCAAGCTCTCCTGGAAGGCTGAAGTTCCCTTATTGGTGTAGAGAGGGGGAGGTGAGGAGAGAACATAGTAGAGCAGAGATGTATGAAGGAGGGAGGCATCGGGCCGAAGATGTAGGGGACCCCATCTGGTGTGTAGAGGACTCTGTTTATGTAGTGTGAGAATGTGTATACGTGCTCACAAGTGTGCATTATAGTGATGGTGTAATTACCTCATTGTTGGTCAAGCTGCTCGCTGTTCATGGATAGGTGACATGGAGACAAGGGCCATCACTCTCCCCTTCTCCCTCACCATCCATCACAATAATAAGGAAAGCCCCAGCAGACGAAGATAGCTGTAAATGTATGCTTCCCCATCGTCTTGGTGAGCTCAGGAAAGCCCTTTGTTTTTCCCAAAGGCTCCAGATGCAAGGGGTGTTTGTGTTATGCAACATTAGAGGCTCTTTAGGCCAGTCTTTAGGCTGCTGGGACATCTGGCGGAAGGTGGAATCTCCCCCAAACCTGCATGGAAACCAGAGCAGGCAGTAGCCCACATCAATGCAAACACACCACACAGATTATGATTTATTCAACAACAGAGATTATAGGAGATATTTTTGGATGCAGTATGTTGTATTACTTCTGTTTCATGGCTTTTCCCTAATATGTCTCTGGACTTGTGAAGAGAATGGAAAAAGGTGCACATCCATCCATTGTCATAAAGCATGCAGGACATGGTCGCCAAAGAGCCATAAAGCTTTACTTCCACCCCAATGAGCCTAAGCCTGCTGCCATTCCTAAAAAGAAACACCAGGCTAAAGTTGTTAAATGCATGATAAAGCATGCAGCTGCAGGTTTTACAGAGATCCACTAACTTACGCATCTCTTTATGGCTCCAACACTACATCATCATTTTATATGGCTCAAATATTTAATTAAATATCAAATTGCACTTATTGTGTTTGATTTGTAAATAATTTTTTTAGAGAGAGTGCATGAGTTCCTGTCATCTACAGTGTGATTGCAGTGACTGGAGCAAACAATTTGACTTGTTACTCCTTTAACCAATCATATGTTGTCTTGGAAAGGTGCCCTGCTCCTGATGGCAGGGTGCTCTTTAATTAAAATGAGAAAAAAAAGCTAAACAAGAAAGGGAAACTTACCCTGGGGCTTATTCAACATTATCCCATGATGCCTTCTCCAGAATACCTCACTAAATCTGGGCCTCAGCTGAAGAGGAGCAGTCAGCGAGGAAGAAAAAAAACAATTATCCATCTGCGAATGAGCAGTAGACGTTTAATTCAGGACTGCTGGGGACAAAGCCCCTTGTTTAGAGACAGTAATTAGGCAACAACATGGCGAGGAGGTTGAGGAAGAGTTGAAGGCTGGGAGGAGTTCACCTCTGGTCATACAAGGAGAGAGAAAAATGATGGAAGGATAGAGATGAAGAGAGAGAGAAGACAAGAAGGGAAAGAAAGAGAGAGCAGACATGAGAAGGAAGGGAGTGTGTGTGTTAGGCAGCATTCTGATGAGTGCAGGATCTCTGCCGACTCCCACCACCATTACAGCAGCGGAGAACATTGCCCCAGGGCTCTGGAATCAAACCCATTACATCTGATACTGGATTTCTCTCTGCTCAGAAGTAATGCAATGTGGACTCGCCTTCTCTAAAGCTGGCCAGTGTCGCATAGCATTGCTGCACAAAGAGCTGCACCACAAGGAAAAAGAGGACAGGGAGGAGGAGATTGGGGGCCTGAGAGGGATACTGGAAAGGGAGGCTTGCTGCAGCTGGAGGGGTCATTTCATATTTCAATTTTTTTATTATATTGATACAAGGGCTGGCTGTCTCTAATAACTCGCAGGATATATGGCACTATGCACACATAAAGGGGCATACGTATATGTTTATACAGGGGCCTTGTAGTCCATTTGCATAATTAACAGACTGGCATTTGAAAAGCAGAATGTCAGCACAAACAACCTTGGACACCAAACTACCTCGGGTCATTTTTTTCAGCCGTGTAATTGGCTCCTAATGCAGAGGAGTTAAACATAGAGATTTTCTGCCCTTAAAGCAAAAAAAATATCCTCTTGTTAATGGGCTCAGCACTCCTGGATTCCTGCCGGTGATTATCAGTCAGCTTGGACTTCTAGAAGTTCAGGAAAGGACCTCTGCTAAATTATAGATCTCAGAAACATCTATTTCAACCTTTGAATCTATTAAAATGATCCTGTATGTGTATCTGCAAAGTAACACTTCCTTCATATATGACTGAGGCCACTTGTTGGTTTTAAATGAACGTCTCATTAAAAAAAGGTGTAATTTTGTGCAGTGTTTCTGGCAAGACTGGCCTTCATTTTGTTTGAGCTGCGCTGTAGTGGAGTGAAGGTAACACGTCCATCCATCCCTGCCTCTTTGCCTATTCACAGTGACATGTCTGATGTAATATTTGTGTAAGCGACCATACTCTCTGTGGCTACATAGCTTTGCACATCATGTTTGTGCTACGCTCTGAACACACATATCACTTGTCAGCTACATGCAATCTCAAGCAAATGGGTAGTATATAAAATGAAACTTTATGTAAGGAAGCACATGCAGCTGATACTC